GGCATTGGCCACTGTCAGAAGACAGGATACTGGTCTAGATGGACCTTTGGTCTGACCCAGCATGGCCGTTCTTATGTTCTTATTCTGAGTAATGGACATATACCACATTTCCCTATTCGTTCCCCATGTGCTAGCAGGTTGGTTTTGCAATGTTGCACATCCATCTCTCTCTGTCTTTGCATCATGCAACAAGGCTTTGTTGCCGACCAGTAAAAAATTATGCTCATTTCACTGCACAGGATTTGAAATGGAGCAGATGGAGAGGTAACCGATGCATTTTTTAACTTGGCTCAATTTTCCATTTTTCAAAGGCGATCCGAGGCAAATCTGAATAGGAAGCAATGTACAGCCTTCACTTCCAGTGCTCAGGTGGCTGGTTAAAAGGCAGAGGTTGGCGAGGATTATTCAGTGAGAGCAGCCTGTTACTAAATACGAGTTTATCCAGAATTCATAAGGAAGGAGACAAGCTTCAGTGAGTCTCAGGGGACAGCAGCCTGCAGGTCTGATGTTGTTCACAGACTGAACTAGGACAAGGATTAGGGCCTGCAGATCTGCTCTGACAATGAAAATAGTGGCCCCAGCTTCTGCTAACTTCATTTACCTTGCAATTTAGCAAAGAAGGGCACTTGTTGGGTTATTTCGGTCCCTTTCGGTTTTGAATGAGCATTTGAACTCCTTTGTTTGGACTTTAAATTTTCCAGCTCCTGTTTGCCTAGGGGCTGGAGACTGGTGTGAGGTTTCTAGAAAATTGGACACCTGCCGCTTTGAAAGCAATCTGCTTATTGGGGAGTGGAACCAGTGCAGCAGAGAGCATGGCTTGTTTCTTCTTGGCCTCTCCTGTCTTCTCTTTTTATCACTTCTATTATCATAAACATAAAGCCTTCCCGAGCTGGTGTGCACAGAAAGACGAGGTTAAACAAACCTGGTTTGCTTAGTCCTTTTCACCGGGTTTGGGTCAGTTATTTTCCTGCGCTATTTGGACACAGCTGAGGAGAAAAACTCTGGAAACACATGTCAGTATAGTCATTTCCGGATTAAAAATCAAACTGAAAATAGAAGAATAACATCCAGGAGGTTCAAGACCCTTAACATTTTCATAACCTTAAACACTGAGAAGGCTTTAGCCCTGCCACCATAATTTGAGACCATGTTGTGCTGTTTGAAGCTCCATAGAGCAGGGTTTTGATTAGCAATCAGTAATTAAATGAAGCCAGAGATCATTTGTTAACACATTATGTAAAATATTTATATTTTAAAGTGTCAAATAAATTCAGTTCCCACCTCCTAATTTTTAGTTTGTTTTGTAAGAAACTAACAAATATTTGTGGAGCAAAAGACTGGTGCAATCACAGGTGCTACTACAATACAAATAATAAATAGCCACGATAAGAATATTAAGAGATTGAAATCCAGTTCTGCTGTTCCTCCTCTATCTTCAAGACAGTTACAGAGATGGAAGCTTAACTATTTCTCTCTATAACAAGGCCTGCTGCTAGTTTATTTACAAACTCCTTGACTCCTCATTTACTCACCTTAACTATTTCTAGTACAGAAATTCCCAGCTACATCCCTGGAAAATCAGAGGGGGAGTTCCTCATTTTGCACCTGGCCTTTTCTTTAATTTTAAGTGGAAAACAAATGAAACCGTCTAGGCTGTGAAGTTACAGGCTGATCTTGCTCCCACTGAAATCAGTGTCAAAACGCTCAGTGGCTTCAGCAGGGGGAAGATCCCATTTTGAAAGAATAGTTACATGGTTGTTAAAATCCATTCCTTATTCTATGCTACTAGGGTGGATGCCTTTGGTGATTCTTTATTAGCTTATTTTGCAGTCTCCTCTCTCTGATTTGGGTTGTTGTTTCTTCTCTCTCTGTCAGAAGGTTGTGTGGGTGGCTTATACATTTATAGAAAAGAAAGCTGGGTAAGTCATTATTTATAACCCACTTGCTTTGTATAAAAAATAAATATAGGCAATGCAATGTAGATTTATGTATAACATATGCATCCTTGTTCATCTTATTGCCTGGAATTACCCTGTCATTAGACAGTGATTTCTGAAAGCAAGCGTTTGTCAATTAGAAAGGCACATCTGCATGCTGGTGCATTTGGAATAACACCGGAATGGGAGATTTCCCGTGAGATTTTGCTTCTATTGAACAAATCCTTTCCCTTCTAAAACTCTAAGAAGATTGATATTAAAATCGAAACAATTTGCAATACCCCAGGAGGAAAAAAAATCAAATCAAATAACCCAGCATCCTAGTCTCTCACTGGCTCAGCCACTAACTTCAAAAACCATGCTTATTACTTCACCAGCCCTCTGTCTGCCGCTTCGTCGCCATGTAGAACTACTTTGTGTATTTGCTAAATATAGAGAGATTATTTATTATTCATTCATTCTAATTCGAAAATCTCTTGAACGCACTACTGAGATGGAAACCGGTCCCCTTCCCAAAGAGTTTGAGATTTCTTTATATAGTTAAGCCACTATTGTTTAAAAAAATATATAAAGCAATAAGAAGCCATTTTAATCCAGATTCAATTTGTATTTCTGTAGTAGAATGGCACATCTTTGGCGTTTGGTCCTGCAGTCCTTATACATACAAAACCTCTCTCTCTCTCTCAATGGAATCCAATCTATTTATTTCAGTGGAAGTTTTATCGAGTAAGAACTATGGAATTGGGGACTTTAAACTAGAATCACATGACTACATCCTGCTTGGGATAGAAAGTCAGTGGGATTGCTAGCAGGATTTAGTTCCTGACGGAAATGGATTTAACTACTAGCAGTAAAAAAAAGACCCATGCTCCTTACACGGGCAAAATTTCAGTGGGAGTTTGGCCCGAAGAAGGACCCGATTCTACTCCCACTGCAATCAATGGGAGTTTTGCTGTTCGCTTCAGTGGGAACTCTGCCGGGTGCTAAAGCAGTGCAGGGTTTGCCTGAACTCTCCCATTTCCTTCCCCCCTCTCTTGCAGCTGTCAGTTTGTGCTAAAAAAATAATAGCAACGTGTGATGTCATGATTATTTTTAATAGTGATCTAAATTTTGATCATCTGGGAAAAGCCATTCGCAGAAAGCCCACGATTCCCTGGCAGTGCCAATGTGGGAAAGAAGGGAAGGGAAGGGTGGAAAAATGCCCACGAAATGAGGCTGAGCTTTGCATAGATTGGTGATTTCCCCCCCCCTCCCCCACACACATATAATGTATTTTATCATTAAAAATCAACATCGCTTCCAGTGCTAAAGGCGGCTGGCTCCAGTTCCGGGGCCCATTTGTTGCTGGGATTCAATACGTTTGGGAAATGCAGATTGGATTGCAACCCACTGTTTGATTTATGAACTGTTACGTTTGCTATTGCTTACCCATTACATTTCAGACTTTACAGACCTTGGGGGCGGGGGGAGAGAGAGAATAATGATATGTTGGAGAAGGGGGATTATTACATTCCCCTCCCGCACCAGAATAAATAATATGTATGACTAGAATTGCAGAATCAAAATTAAACTCTGACCCCCTCCTCCCCTTTCCCTCAGCTTCCTCCCTCTCAGCAGGACTCTCATCTTATAGGTAGAAAGGATGTGTTTACTCCTTGATGTTTACCTCTCCATAAAGGCATCAAAATCCTATAAATAGACAAGGTTATAGCAGCTTCTGCTGCTAAATCAATAGGGCCCAGTCTCCTGGCTATTTCAGCTGAGCTGTCTTATTAATTATGAAAGGACTCATCTGATCTCAGGCAGCAGCTTTCTGTCCCTCCTTTGCAGCATCTTAATGGTGGTTGCTTTCTCTCCCCTCCACAGCTATAAACGGTCTCCTTTTCAGAAAAATAGGTTTATTTTTTTTAAAAGAAATCACTAAATATGTATGTAAAGACTATAGCTGTAAATAGTCTGCCTATAACGCCGCCAGCAATTGCTGTGCCAGCAAAACCCGCGCATGTGAATAAAGGGAAGGATAACCGGGGCGGATTTTTGACAAACTGCTGCAAATGCAGAAGTGCTAGACCTGGGAGCCCGTCCTGCATTGCCCTGGCACCCCGGGTTCCCACTGAAATCTGGCACTCACTCTAGCTGGCTTGGGCTGGTTCCCTCTGTAAGCAGTCACAGCAGATGAGTCCCACCACGTTTTAGAAAAGGAGTATTGTGTACTTTTTTAAGGGAGTTTTATAGCATGATTTTTAAAGGGCTACGTTAATTAGTTTAGCATTCTATATTTTTTTGCACCAAGATGACGATGTTAATTAATTTAGCCGCTCTGCATTTAGCCGCTATTATATTAAAAGCCTGTCCGGTTAAATAGATATATACCATGCATATTTTACAAATAAAACGACACCCTCATTTCAAACAATAATTTTTATTTTATACTTCTTTCTATACTTGTAGCAAATTTTTTTTGCTGAATTGGCTTTATAATAAACTCTTTTTAAATTACATCTTTTCTTTTAAAATCAAGGTTCTTTTTTGTCAAAATCAATATGCTGTATTTTTAGGTTTACATTTAAGCCCCCTTTTTGTGATCTATACTGTTGGCTATTCAGGTATTTTACTGTATGTGTAACATCTAAAACAAGAGAAGAGGAGGGAAATTAAAGGCAGTGAACTCGGAAAGATGCTTTGACAACACCAAGTAAAGCTAAACTCTCAGCAATCTTAGCAGCATTCAATCCTTCAGTCATTAGATATAATCTCTTTCCTTCCTTCTTTTTTTTTTTTAACTGTCCATTTCTTTCTTTTATTCCCCTCGAGGAAATTTTTTTTTTTTTTGCAGTGGAATGACCAAAAAACAAGCGACTGTGGAGGAAAGATGATAGATTGTGAGTTATTCACCATATGCTTCACACGTGGATATCAATCTTGGATTCATTTCCAGTGCCTTTTTTCTCAACTCATCGTTTTCTTTCATATTACAAGAGGAGCCCATCTTTTGTTGTTGTTGTTGTTGTTGTTATTATTATTATTATTTATTAAGATTATTAATATTAGGTGGCCCAAAGCCGTTCCTGAGATTCTTTTGCACAAAGGGCTCGGGTTTTCTATTTTTATTTGAAGAGACACTAAAGCTGAGGTCCGATTTTGGCTGTTTGTTGCTCATTGTTTGGTAACATTTGGCAAATAAAACACAAAATAAAGAGAGAACGTTTCCACAATCCTATATGGATGTTTCATCATCACAGATAATCACAACGGTCCCCAAAAAACGGATGGACACTTCCTCTATAAATCCAGTATATGGAGAGTGTGTGTGTGGGTGGGTATGTGTGTTCTACCAGAAGAGACCTCCTAGAAGGAGAACCAGGTCACTAACGCTGCAGAGAGAGCCAGCAGGAGCAGGGGGAAGGCAGGGAGGAGTAGGGAAGGAGCTGACCCGTTGCTTCCTCCGCATAGTTCAAATAAGCTGCCTTGAAAATCGAGGTTTTTGGATTCCCTTTTCAGTTTTTCCCAAAGATCTGTCGCGCCTTCCTGGCAATCCGTGAGGGCTGTGAGGGTGCAGGAGTGGAAATCATCCCAGTACCTGGGGAAGGAGCAAACACAGGGGACAAGCGCCAGGTCACTCGCTGCACAAGAGGGCCCAACAACATACCAACCCCACGCCGGATTCCCTCCACCCACATGCTCCCCTTCCAACCCGCTCCTGATTCCGCCCCTCACAACAGTTTCAAATGTGTGTAGCGATGACGGGTGCCTTGATGTTTGGGTGCCCAACCCCCATTTATGCAAATCAGGCCCCCTTCCAGAAGTTTCCCCCTTGGGGCGCTGCAAAATTGAGACACCTAAAATCAACTGTGGCTTTTTGAAAACCTTGGCCCTTGTTGCCTTCAGAATTGCAACCTTAGAAGAAGCAGCCCTACGCACAACCGGCTTGTTTTGCACTTAGGCTCTGCTCCTACTCCCAGTTAAACCAGTGGGTGTGGGGCCGTTGATTTCAATGAGAGCAGGATCAAGCCTTCAGTCAATAGCTCTGTTTCAGGATTTCCTCAAGAGTGACTGCGATCTTAATTCCTCCCCGTCCCAAACGCCCCCTAAGCAGGCGGCTTGCTTCCATTCTGAACTAGCAAGGAGGCTACATCCAGCTGGCTTATTTTGTATTTACTCGGTAACGTTCTGTTATTGGCTTTTGCAAGGAGTCAGAAATCGAAATCTCTGCCTTCGAAGGGAGAGTGGCTGGGGTCCAGCGCATCGCCCCATAAATCATAGGCAGGGGTAGGAGGTGTGCCTTTTGCATGCACAGAATAGCTGGACATCTTCCAGGGGGGGAAATAGCCACAAAAAGCAAGGTGCCTATTATTAACCTTCCTTAACTGTCGGACTTTATTAAGGAGCGTGTTTCTTAGCTGTAATGATTATGATATTTATTTATTGCCTAGCATGATTATTGTTGGAGAGTGTTCTTTGGTTTTGATGCTGATGAACTGTATTATTGTGCGGTGAGCTTTGATTTTACTGTTCCAGAACGATGGAATCGGCCAGAGTTTAAAGATCCTAAAGCAAAGTTACTTCACAGAAAAGCACCGCGTTCGTTGGTGATCCCATCTAGGAAAACCTTCCACCGACTTCAGAGGGCTTTAGATCGAGCCCTCATTGCACAGAAAACCAGCCACCTCTCTGCAGAATGCCGAGTGGCTTTGGAATAGGAGCCAGGTCAGTGATTCTGAAATTACAGGGACGGTATGCCTGTGATTTCAGAATCCTGACCTAATCCAAAGCCCCACTGGAGACAAAGGGGAAGTCTGTCCAGTGATTTAAGTGAGCCCAGGATCCTTCAGTGTTTAGAATAAGAAACCACTCACCCCCGTGGAAAAAATTCCAATATTCCTAAACTGTTTTCCCATTTTTCTCACTCAAACCAAAACCAGATCTCGAGGCTAAATCTAAACTCCAAGCAGGATTGTCTCATTTCAGAGGAGACTGGCAGATCTCTGTGTAGTGGTCTCGGTTATCTAAAATCAGCGTGGCCTCTGTGAACTGTTCTCTGGTTTGTTTGTTTTTTCCAGGTAGGCGCTCGGTTTTCGGTTATTTTTTTAAGCAGTCCTGCAGATTCTAATTTATGAGCACTCTACACTGGTTGTAGACTCCAGTGTTTGCTACATTTGTAATAAATAATGAGATATTGAGATGCCAAGAAGGCTGAGAGTGTGCCTCTCCTGCAGTATTTCTGCTATAATTGCATCTCCCAAAGGAAAATTAAATCTTCCCTGATCTTCTTTCAATACACATACTGGCATAGAGAAAGCGGGAGAGAAACCTCTACAGAAATCAGGCGCAGGCCGGTGGCACTGGACAAGAAGCTAACTCCTGAACAGTATCTAGGACAAAGACTTTAAATTAGAACGATGGGGCCCTTATTTCTGTATTTATTCTACATGCAGCTCAGCAGGTACATTGCAGCTGGCCACTAAAGCCACGTACCGGCATTGTAGACGCTGCAGATAGCAGCCTACTGTCGATCAGAAATATATAGACAGAAAGAGAAGTCACAGGGGTTTCACAACATTGTCTTTTGGGTTAACATGTCTTGATTTAAAAAATGTTTCCGTTTAATGTACATTGTTTTCTGACATTTTTTTTTATGTTTCAAGAAAGACTTTATACTCCAATGACACCGCATTGGCTTCTAAATGTGGCTATTTTGCCGGATATTTCAGGATTATGCAGGAAAACAGCAATTAGGGAAATCCTATAAACGGATTTCTTTTTTTATTAAATTAAAATGCAAACGGTGCGTTACTATCTTCAAACAAAGAACCCCTTAATGGACAGTTCTTAGAAATGAAGCATTAGCTCTTATCCTCCTATTCTCACCAACAACCTTCATATGTCCCCAGTAAAGAGTCAGGAATGGGAGACAACGCTTTTTTAATGTGGGCGAAATAAATCAAGATTCACATTTCCTTAAGCAATGGACCCCTACCCAGGCGCTAGTCTGGAGTCTAAGCAAAACTCTGCAATGACTTCAATTGAAACTTGTGCTTAAGATAAACTCCCTGCCCGGTCTGGCCTAGTGTTCCTTCCACAAGGACTGAAAGTTTGTCAGCGACACCATCCCAGTGTCTCAGCCTGCAGAGATCATTTCAGTGCCAGTCTCGTCAGACACGACTATTTCTTCTACGAGCCCAAATCATTATTCACACCTTATTAAGCAATAATGTTAACTCTACAAATGAAACTAACTAGATCTGAATTATCGTGGGGAAATAACTCTCTCTAATAAGGCAGCAAGGTGCTATTTATTAATTATTAATTATTATTATTATTATTATTTCTCTGTATATTCGATTGCATTGTTGTCATCTTAATTTATTATGTTTAATTCCGGGGCCAGATTCTGATCTCTTTAATCGTGTTGCTTAGCAGCTGATTTAAAAAACAGTCCCACATTTCTAGAGTAAGGAAATCAGAACGCGACCCACAAGAAATAAAGAATCAGGAGAGTCAATGAAGAATAAACGTAGCCCTAGAATTTCGCTGCTTAGGTGGTTTGCAAAAACGATCCTATTTTAGGCAATTCGTTAGCAACAAAACCGGCCTTTAAGAAGAGCCAGTACCAGCCAAATGTTGCCAACCCCATGCTGGAGTTCCGACCTCCATTTTTATTAGCATCGGCACCACCCATGTAAATGACTGTTTGCATTGACAGCTAACGCTGGATGTCACACTTGGGGCCTTGAACAGATCAACTGGGAAGGGACCATCGGCTTTACAAAAAAATGCAGAGGGCAAGAAAAAGAGAAGAGAAGCCAAAAGAATACATAGTCAGCGGGGAAACGAACTGAACGGCCCAGCTACAGCGCAGGTTAAATCTTTCCTCGCAGTACAGTTTTGCTCTGATTGGCGCTTCAGACTGCAGAGAAATAAGGACGGAGGTCAGGCCAACTCAGGCCATGGACAACTGAAAATAGGGCAGCACCTTGCAGCGCCTAAAATCCCTTTCTTTTTACGCAGAGAGCCACACTCACAGCAGCAATTAGAGCGGGATTTTCAGCCCGGCCAGTGATATTTTCTTTTCGAATAACCACCCCGAATGTAACCCTGGCGATCCGTGACGAGGAATAACAACGAAATAGGAAGACCTACGAGCAGATCGTTTGGAGATTTCTCTTGTCGTCCAGGTCCTGCGGGTAGTTGGCCATGTTATCGCCCAGCCTGAGCAAACAGTCCGAGAAGCCCCTAAAGACCGCATCGCACTTCCCCGCTGCTCTCACCGCCTGCACCAGGTACGCTGGGGAACAGATCAGCACCACATCAGCCCGGACAGATCCCAACACAGTAACTCTGTACAGCACTCAACCCCCACATGTCTGTGAGCTACATTCAACCCCTCCCCAACCCGTCCCCCACCACCATCATACACGAGGGATCAAAGTCGTGACCGTGACAGGAAGATCTGCCATTCTTGTGCACCCACCAGGTTGCAAACCGCTTTGCTTCCTTCTCAGCACACAAAGCCAGCTTTCCTGTTTGGGCATTTTCACCAGCAGACGAGATTAATTTTGAATGAGGGCAAGTGTGCTGAGAACAACAGGGTTAGAGTCAAAGGCATTCAGGGAGTGGGTTTGTGCCTTTGATTTGTGTGTGTGTGTGCGCGTCATTTCTTATTCCATCTCTCGCTCTCCCGTTGTATGTTTGAATCTAGTTTACAGTAGCGTGGCCCACTACAGTCTTGATTACCGTTAGGTTGTTTATTAAACGCAATTTTCAATTTAATTCTTTCCTTTCCCGGGATGCGTTTTATTGTTATAACATTCTGCTTCCGATCGTATAGACACACACGGACACTCTGATAAGGGCACTTCATTATTTCAGTGTTAACTGGGTAAATAGCTGCGGAAAATGAAACCTCTCTGAGAGGAAAACATTCACAAAACACGCAAAAGGCTACGGCTCACGTATATTTCTCCCTCCGATGGTGCAACAGCGTGGGGTGGGAACGAAAAGTTTGTGGGTTGCAATCTCTAGTAAGATAAATGAATTCTTCCACGGTTAAAATCTTTTCCTGGCTATATTTCCCATGTTGCACCTTTCGGATTTTGCTGTTCACTGGCACACACTGAGACGCTGTTTGAAAAAAATGAAAATGCCCTCCTGTGTAATCCACCGATGGAGTGAGTGCTAGAGTCACATACTAGGGGTGTGTGTGTGTGTGTGTGTGTGTGTGTGTAAAATTACTTCTCACCTATGTCGTAGTTTTGCAGCTAGATTGGTGCCAGAGAGACGCCTGTGGTTTATATGTCAGACTGTGTGTCTCTGGACATGTTGTCCATAGCCAGATGGATCGACGTGGAGACAGAAGAGCATCATTTACCTCACTTCACCTCAGCTCCTCTATGTACCACTCTGCCTAGAGGGCTAGAAGTTTCTGAAAACCGTCTAGCTATAGCTGAGTCCATCAACCAGGCGCTCTGTCTCTAGCCACACACAAAACTGACCCTGCTGGGAAGAAGGTGCTCCCTCTCGATCTCTTCCCCTTGCAATGAAATCCACACCGTGCTGAGGGATAGAGTGGATTTTCAGGCAAGGGGAAGCCAGGCTGTCTTGCTGGGAAGATTTTTTGTAAATACCTTTAAAGTGATATTAGCTCTAAAATCCCTCCCAGCCACTAGCCTCTCCTGGTGCAGTGGTGCTGAGGGGAGTAGGAGTGTCACTGTGGTTTGGTCTCTCTCTCTCGCTTTCTGCTTGCCTGCATGTTCAGGACTCACTCAATTGATTTGTCTGTTTGAAAAAACACCACCACCAGATACAATTTCTGGCTGACTGGCTGGGATTCGCTAGCATACGGGCTATTTATCCCTATCAATCCCGCTGCAAATGAAAGGGAATTAGAGGCTTGTTGGTTTAATTGATCACTGGCTTGATCCTGAACAACAGAGCTCAGGGCTCTCAGCTGCTCCCCCCCCTCCCCTCAATGCAGTGCATCTTTAGCCACCTACAGTAATCGGGTTAAGGGAGGTGCCATTTTCACATGCTGCTTTCAGGAGCCTGCCCCAAGTGCTGGGGGCACACACTGGGTTGGGAGCCTGGGATTGCAACCGTAAGAAACTCTGCCCTAGAGATTCCCCTGGGGAGCGTGGCTGCTTATTTTTAAGGCGCTCCAATTACCAAGTAAGTGGCTGGCTCCAAAAGGCTCCGTTTCAACTCAGAAACCCCGTCACCCCTCCCCGTTTGATTCATCATTAACCTGATTTAGTAACCACACCCCTCACCACCGCCGCCCACCCGCACGTCAAAACACGCGGGGAGGGGGTGGTGGTGCAGACATTGGCTGCGGTACAAAACATGCAAACAAATAGCAGAGCTGAGAACATCCCGAGAGAGAGAGAGAGAAAAGTCCTATAAAAGCCATCGCGATCCCTCCTTGCAAGCGAACGAGGAGGGCGAAAACGCCACTTCCAAGCGGCAAAATGCTACAAGTCACTCTTAAAAATATAGGCTCCCAAATGATCTGCCCTATGAATCGACTCCTCCCGGGCGCGCCAAGATGCGATGGCAACAATAATAATTCCTAAGTGCCATTGTACTGCCTTCGTGCTCTGCAGGAGAGGCCTGCTCAAAGCACACGCGGGCGCGTGAGCGAAATGACGTACAGCTCATTGCAGTGTTAGCATGCTGTCGCTGTCCGCGGCTTTGGGGGCAATTGTGCTTTAAGAAACGAGACAGGGTTTCTCCCGAGTTACACAACAATGGGATTTCTCTTGAACTAGGTCGTTTGAAAGAGAAAGGGGAAAGTGCAGCCCGTCGGCAACGCATAAGGGCGAAGGGATCCATCCATAATTGATCCTTTTTGCATTCCTTAATTTTGCAGCTTATTCTCCACATTTAACACGCTCTTTAGCTCCGTCTACTCCCCGCATCATCTGTCTTTCTGTCTCACCTTCCTTCCAAGCTCCTGCAATCCCCGCTTCCTTCCCTCAGCCACCCTTCTTGTCAAAATGTCAGTAGTTCGGAGAGCTTCCAGCCATTCATAAGGACCAAGGCATTGGTGCAAAGATGTACATACATTTGGGGGGCACCAAACTAATGCGACAAACTTCCATTTCATACGAACCCTTTAGTAATTCACCAGAAGAGGTAAATACACTTCTACACTGGATGTGGCATTTATTCTCTTTACAAAACAGAGGTGGCACCTTATTTCAAAATAGTAATAAATACTTCGGCGTAAAATAAAACCAAACTGCTCTCCGAAGAGACTATAAGATCCGAAAATTCATCCCTTTCCTCACTACCCCAAAAATATCTACACTTTAATAATGTTTGAGGTCTGCAGCACTGGTTTTATCTGAACTTTCGAAATTCCTGCACGTTTTCGAACGATCTAGTGCACATAAAGTACCAAAAATGTATAAAATTCACGGCGAATAAATGCCTCTCTTGGTAAAATTTCCTATCCTCACATCCTCCTCCAATCTCCAAATAAATAAAGAAATACATTTATAAAAAAATAAATGTAGTTTTAAAAAGGCCATGTGTCCTGAAAAATGGTTTTGCAAAGCGTTCATCATCCTTTGAAATTATTCTGATTGTTTGAAAAAATGACATGAATTTTGAGGTTGGCAAATTCTAGCCACATTTTCCCGAGTTCAATGTTTCGTCTCAAGGGTTTCCTCCCCCCCCCCATCGATGCGAAATTTATTTTCATCGCGTTTTGCCTTTTCTCCACGCTCCCCCCGCCCCAATGCTGCAGAGATCGGCTAGCGAGGAAAGCGACAGAGCGAAATGATTTTTAAACAGCAAAACTGAGCATTTTTTATTATGACAGAATTCCTTTGCAGAAAATCTTTTTAAGGGTTTCTCTTGTAATCTGCCAATGTATCGATAAAGGATGTGTTTTAATTATTTTCTAATCCAAGATCATTTTTGGATAATGCTAGGGAATTTCTTTGGGTTTTTTTTTGTTATTAGTTCCTTATGCAGAATGAAAGGAGTTGCTAACTTTAAAGCTGTTTTAATATTTGTAACTGTGAAAATACTTTAGTCGGAAACATTGAACAAAATTTATCTAATAAACAAAACCTAGCAACAACAAAATCCCAAACAACAGTAAGAAGAAATACACACACACGTCTATCTATCTATCTATCTATCTATCTATCTATCTATCTATCTATATTATATATATACACACACAAACTAGGGTGGAGGGAAACCTGTGCTATTTTAAGTAACTCCCAAAGAATAGGCATTTTGCACCTCTGCTTTAGTGACAGAGGTTCTCTTAGTTTACACAAAATTAATGCTCAGGCAATAAGATTTAAATTTTGTTTTTATTTCACCACCACACTTAACAAAAACATTCACCGCAGCTGGGAGAGCCCTAACATACCAAAAGACAGCATTGCGACCCCTTTGCACATCCCTGGTTGCCTGCAAATAAACTTTCCAGTTAGACCTCTCTCTAGCCATTTTGTTCCATTATCTCATCCTTCTGCCCCTCTAGGGAAGAAATAAATGTCCTAGCATTGGAACCACTGAATTGTCCGTGGCATATATCTAGAAAGAAATATGCATGTAATCTTTCCCGGGGAGGAGGGAAGGAAAAAGAAAGCAACCTAACCATTAACGAGCATTTCATCCGTCTGGTTTGCAATAAGGAAGAGCAAAAGTGGTTCAAGAGGAATAAGAATTCGTTCCCTTTCCTGCGGAAAAGCTGTTCTTTCAGCGCTTGGCATCCTGAATAAACACGAAAATGCCGTTAAAAAGAGCGAGCGAGGAGAGTACATAGCCTGGTCCCTTCGCCGCGAATCATGCCAATCATTTCAGGTTATTTAGACATTCCGTTTCTGCATGCATCAAATGGGGTTTGGTGCAGACAACTTGAGACACAATTTGGTGGTCCACTTACCTATCTGTACAGCAAGGATCAGAGAAATATATCTGCCGTTCAACTTAAGTCCCATCCTACATTTAGTAAAACCATTTGCGACTGCAGATCTTTAAATAGTTACTTTGGAAAACGTGGGGGAAAGCTGAAAAACAGGCATTGCCAACAAGTTCCCAGCAGCGGAGACTTTGCAGACGAGGGGGAGATGGAGAAAGAGAGAGCTGGGAATGGTTCACTCCATTAGCAGGGGGCGGAGGAAGTACAGCCTCACGCCCACCACCAGCCCTGACGTGGGGGAATGACACTGACGGATTCTTTTTTTTTTTTTTTTGTATGTGCACCTTGGAAGGAGAAACGCCATTTATAGGCATCCCAGCCTGGATTTAGCCCGCTCTCTGCCATTAATCGCCACGAAATCTCCTCCCCTCGGTGAAATTCCCCCGGGCTGCTGGCTGCTGGCGTGACCCTGCAGGACTTTAGGGGAGCCCTGGATTCTCCACGCGCCTGCAACTGCACCGACAACAAACAAAAGCCCCACCAGAAGGAGCTGGCCCGTGAGGAACTCCTGCCATCTTTATTAACACGTCCCCATGGCCAAACACTGCCGCAAGCGCCTGACAAGCAGGGCAGCTTCTGTTAAGCCTGCCATGTGCGTATCTCCCCCCTCTCTCCCCCCACTAAACAGCTGCGTCCAGCTTCCCGCCTCACACTCTCTGTGTATGGCACGCACCGACCTCTCGATGTGATCCTTGCGGGCTTGTCCTCACCCTGCAGAGCGGGCCGGTTCCTCAAGAGCAACAGGCGACATCGTGGGGGGCTAAAGCCTGGCCTTGAACAGGCTGCCAGCAGGCTGGCTTGGCTCTTGTGTGCTGAGCCTAAGCTAAATCATAACAAACAGCCCTGGGTATATAAACAACCCGAAATCATTTGCATTGCTCTGCCGATGGCATTGTTTTTACTTAGGGCATTGCTGAGGAGTGGCCTGCAAAATTGCCGCGCTCCCCGCTCTTTTTATTGTGGAATAATCTCTCCACACGATTGTAACTCGCTCTCCAGCCCTCTGGGTTTTTTTTTTTTTTTTAACGTATTATAAAATACCTGCCCCTTGTGCTGTCTGAATCGATGCAGCTGCATTGCTGCTTTGTTACATAACGGACGGGGCTGCAACTGGCAAATAGATGGGGAAAGTAGAAGTAGTTAGACCCCAACATTAAATCTTATCTCTGCCCAGGACAGCTGGGGCTTTCTGGGGATGCAGGCTGCTAGCACAAAGCGTCCAATATTATTTTAGATGGGAGGGACATGACGTGTGTTTCCTCTTTTTAACCAGGAGGTGCAAAAATAATACTTTCTAAGGCATGCAAATCCAATGAGGGAGGTGTTTGCAAACAGCGAACCTGTCTATCCATCGATCCCTCTCTCCTGCAGAGCAACAGGAGCGGCTAGGGAGAGATCTAGCCATCGATTTGTTACCAGGTGAGGATATTGAGGGGGCCAGAAAGGCTGTGGGGAGGTTTGCAGCGCTCCAGGAGACAGGAGGGAGGGGGGACAAGTAGGGGTATATTCTGCTGTGGAAGAGTCTCTCTCCCTCCCTGCGTGGGTGGGGATAGCACTGAAGAAACCCCCCTCCCCGTCCTCCCCCTCTCTGCAGCAGCGAGGGTGGGAGACTGGCTTTTGCTGGGTCTGCCCGGGTTGGCCCCTGCAGTGAGGAGTGGGCGGAGGATTCAGGAGTCTCCCCCCATCCCTTCTCTATCACGTCACCTGGATGAAGATGGGGAGGGCTGCTGAGCTGGTTAATCTCTGCCAGGCTGCCTGCCCTGAATCCTGAGGGAGACCAGGGCCTGCCTGCCGGATCTGCCTTTTTCTTTCCTACTGTGTGTATTAGGGCGGTGGCTGGGGCCTGAGGCAGATCAGAGCTAAGGGCTGCACAAACAGAAGTGGATGCTGCGGGTCCTGCTCTGACCAGCTCCTTAGTCCATCCTCGGGGGGGAGGGGCGGCTTTCCTGTTAGGCAGAGGGATGCTCCCGCCAGACAATAAGGGAGCTGTCCAGGCAAACCAGTGCCCTTGCAGTGCCATCCTTTCCTCCCCATCCCCACCCTCTCCTGGGGCCCTGTATGCTGCGCTGCCCTCACCACCCCAGGTGCGAGGCTCAAGGCATGAGGCCAAGGGAGTGGGCACATTTGGTGAGAGTCTGTCAGCACCCCTGCCTAGGCAAGGGTTTGAGCTCTGGCTCAGCTCAGTAGAGCGTGCATGTTGCTATCTTGGCTAACATACTGGGGACTGAACCCAGGAGCTGAAAACACCAGGCTCCACAGCTTGACCTAAAAAGCCCCCCTGTGGACTAGGCCCAAAATGGGGGGTGTATAACACACACTTGATCCTGGGGGGTTACACAGGTATCTTCCCCTAAGGGAGAGGGGGACCTGCTGCCAGTGCTGGGGTAGGCTACATAGGTACCTGCCTATGGCATTTAATTGTTAGGTGACGCTCCCACCTCTCCACCTTCCCACTAGGTGGGGCAGCTTCTCTAGGGGGAGTGTTTCCCTTTTAAATGTGGCCCACTTGCCCTCAGGTAGCAGTAGCCCTAGGATGCCAAAAGAGCGAGTACTGGCTCTGGCTAATGCAAACTGAAAGCCTGTGTCTGCTGAGGGAGAAAACACAAGCAGCTCATGGAGATGTTCTGCTGCTGTAGCCTACCAAGGGCCCCTTTCTGCCCTGCATTGGACCCTGTGTAGCCACACTGAACACAGCGGCCCTAAGGGTTTCACTTGCTTGTAGTTACCAGCTCCCACCTAGCTTCTCCCCACCACAAAGTAGCCACTCCCACTCAGGTGCTACACCACAAAATTACCAAACCCTGCCCATGTCTTCCTACCACCCCTTCTCTCAGGGGTTCTCTGCTCGGTGTCCCCTTCTGGTTCCCTGGTTTTAGTCCTTTGACCCCCATGCCTGTTTCCGTTATTGCCTTCGTTGTCCTCCAAACTTGGTTGGGTTCTGGGTTCAGTAGCTCCTCTCTAGGCTGGGGGAGTGGCTTTTAGTAGTGGGCGAGCTAGTGCCCGCCCACATCTCGGCGCTCAAAAGGACCCCTCCACTCAGCTCCTTTTCCCACCGATTAACCACCATAATTACTACCCCTCAGTCAGATCCACCCACCACAAAATTACTGCCCCCAAATCAGCTCCTCCCACCCCCGTTTCAGCAGCCAGTTGCAGGCTGGCTGATATAGGCAGTGTGAGGGCTGCTGTTGATTTTGAATCCCTCTGCTCCTAATGAGTAAATATAATTAAGTAGTTTTACTCTAGCAGCAGTGAGTGCTGCATAGCGCAGTTCCTTATACCAGCAATTCCTGAGAAGCATTATTTAAAAAAGAACAGCCCTTCACTTCCCCATGGCCTTAATGGAAGAGGACTAAGCAATACGCTTAGAAGTAAGTAAGAGGGTGGGAGGCATGACAGTCTACAAGGGTCTGAAGGTCACCAAGAAGGGAGAGGGATTATTTAGGGTTAAGTGAGTCAGTACAACTAGGAGCAATTACATGAAATCAAGAGTAAGATGCAAAAACTCTTGATGGTGAGATCTGTTAATACAATAATACTAACATGCAATTAACCCATTGCACTTATAAAACACCTTTTTATCCATAGACCTCAAACTGATTAACAGAGGTAGATAAGCAGCATTACCCCTACTTTCCAGATAGGGACACTGTAGGGGAAAGTGTCTTTTGTCAGGTCCCAAAGTGATTTCGTGGCAGAATTAAGGATAGAATCAGGTCTCTAGACTGCTGAGGAAAGCTCAAGTCCCTACATCACAGGTATACTCTCACGATGTTAAATAGTCTCTCAAGGGAAGTGTTAGAAGCTCTCTCCAGTAGCGATATTTGAATCTAAACTGGATTTAAGGCAAAAATGCTAATACAGTATCTGGCATTCAAATGTTGTGGTAATGGCTGCTCTAGAAATACCGCCAACAGAGATAGATATACCATAGGGTAGAATTCTGCCATTGTTCCTGCAAAGATCAGTTAGATAGGTCTTTGATTTAGTGCATTAGCAGCAAATAAAAGGGGATGGATGGGCTGTAGGCTCATGGTGCTTGAATGGAAACATTGTACATGCTGGTCAGCCTAAAGCTGGGCTGCTTGTATTTTGGTCAGTGTGTAAAAGCACCCTTGGAAAAGCACCAGGATTGAAGGGAAGTGACAAGATCAAGAGTACAAGGACTGAGAGAGCTGCAGCAGGAGGAATTTTCATTTTCACTCCCATGCCATGCTGATAAGGGTTTGTGGTTGCTGGGTTGTTGTTGTTTTTAATCATACTTGTATCTCCTACTTTTCCCTAAGGGTAAACAAGGTCTAGCTGCAGGTTAGGGCTTAGCTAGTATGAGGTGTCTTGTCTTGAACTTACTTTTGACCATAGCACATGTAAAACTTGCTTTGAAAATGACTATATGACAATTTCCAACATGCAAATCAAACAGATTGTAGAGTTCTGATTTGTTTAAAATTTCAGATCCATGTTTAACAGTTCAGAGCTATCTGCACCTCTGACAAACTGGGTCAAAAATCTCTTGAGAGCAGGCTTTTCTGTGAGATATCTGGCATTTCTGTTTCTGGAACACAAGAGCAGTGGGTTTCGTGGTGTTCCAGCTAGAAATGATCCTAAGCCAAACCACCTCTGGATAGCCTTGAACTTTGGGGAAGTTCAGCTGTATCTGAACATTCTGTTTGCACTCCATCATTATAATGGACCAAAAACTGCCTCTCCAGACCCTTCCAAATATAGATTCAGATCTGAACTTCATGGCTCAGGCCGTTTCTAATTCCGGTGCTTCCAGTTCTGGTTGGAACCTGGAAGTGTGAGGCCATGTGAACATTTAAAAAAAAAAAAAAAAAAAGCACAATCAAACACTGTTTAAAGACTTTTGAATTTCAGAGTCTAAAAATGGTCAAAGATCGAAGCACGATTCTGACACCTTACACGAATTGCTCTGTGAGTGGGACCAATGCTCATGGCGGGGGAAGAAGCTGTACCTTGTAAAGTGGTTTAGTAGTAGTTGCAGTCCCTCTGCATGCTGTGGAGGTCAAGGAGGAATTCTGCTTTCCATTGTTCCTTGTGTAGCCCTGTTTCTGACATGTGCCATAGAGGTATGATCT